TAACACACTTGGTTCTCAGACGTATGTTTCCAGTCAATGTTGGCTAACTCTGCAGATGCTTCCTGTTCCAGCTGAAGCTTTAATTGGTTTCTTTTTTCTTTCAAAGTTTTCTGTTTATCAAGCAACCATTGAACCTCTTGGTTTATTTTAAATATTTCTTTTTCCACAGCAGCAAGCTGCTCTTTTACTATAGAAAAATCAAACAACAAATGAAACCAGCCGAAGTACATTTTCTATAACAGAGATTAGAACAAGTTAACGATGCTAGTTATGGTAAACCAATTACCTGAATCTCTGTCTTTACACATTTCTACATCAGTATATCAAACACAAAACTGAAAAAATTCATTTAATTCAATTTTCTATCAATATTACTTTAAAAACTGCTGCAGTAAACTTTATGTTCTCCTGAACAATCATCTAATTTGACTGCAGTAAACAATTTTCTCCTTATAAAGTTTGTTTTTTAAATAATTACAATACAAAATGTTTGAATGATTTCACCATTGTTATAATTGTTTAATCTGTTGTCCTTGATTTTTAGTGTAAATGATAGTTATTGATGTTTTGTAATCAATGATAATCTCCTAGTGTCCATTAGTTTAAACACACAATCTTTTACTGCTGGGTCAGTTCACCCACTATGTTAATGGCCAGTTTTAGTATGTCAAGTGGAGGAGCCATTTGTTATGTTTCACGGAGTGGTGAAGCATACACAGAAATTTTTTATTTGGTACCAAAGGGTAATGTATACGAGTAATTCTTCCTATTTGTTATCTGAAAGAAAAAAACAACTGTGGTAGTCTCATGATAGTTTGTCCGAGAACCAAGTGTGTTAGTCTCATGATAGTTTGTCTGAGAACCAAGTGTGGTAGTCTCATGATAGTTTGTCTGAGAACCAATTGTGGTAGTCTCATGACAGTTTGTCTGAGAACCAAGTGTGTTAGTCTCATGATAGTTTGTCTGAGAACCAAGTGTGGTAGTCTCATGACAGTTTGTCTGAAAACCAAGTGTGTTAGTCTCATGACAAGGTTAGTTGTAATACTGGTACACTGTATCAACATTAAGTT